TGAGGTATTTGTTAATGTAAGTATGTCATTATTATCTTAGAGTTAACCTTGATGACAGTATCACTTCTTACTAATGTCAAAGGGGCAACATTTTTTAAAAACTGTTTTTCTACCAGGGTGCTTGCATGGATCTTTCTTCTCTAGTCAGTCTCTGCTTGTCCATCATGGATATTTTAAAACCTAGATTATTATCAGACAAATAAATTCAACTTAACAATCAGTATTCTGTCAGAAGTGAAAATTCCAAACTAATAAAATTACGCTCAACTGGAAAACGTAGGAAGGTCTTTTTAATTTTATCCATTCTGTAGAGGTATCTCCTGTTTGTTTTTTGTTTGTTTGTTTGTTTGTTTGAGACAGAGTCTTGCTCTGTCGCCCAAGGCTGGAGTGCAGTGGCGCGATCTCGGCTCACTGCACCCTCCGCCTTCCGGGTTCACACCATTCTCCTCCCTCAGCCTCCTGAGTAGCTGGGACTACAGGTGCCCGTCACCACGCCCGGCTCATATTTTTGTATTTTTAGTAGAGACGGGGTTTCACCATGTTAGCCAGGATGGTCTTGATTTCCTGACCTCATGGTCCACCCGCCTTGGCCTCCCAAAGTGCTGGGATTACAGGCGTGAGCCACCACGCCCGGCCAGGTATCTCTTGGTTTTATTTGCATCTCCCTGATGACTAATGACTTGGAGCGCTTTTTCATGTGCGTATTGGCTATTCACCTATCTTTCTTTATAAAGTATCTGTTCAAGTCTATGGCCAATTTTTTAATTGGGTTATTTGTCTTTTTATTATTGATGTATATATTCTTGGTATAAATTCCTTAGTAGATATATAATTTTTAACTTTATTTCTTTCCAGTTTGTGGCTTGCCTATTCATTTTCTTAGTAATCTCTTTGATAAACAAAAGTTTTAAATTTCAGCTGAATGTAATTTATCAATATATCCATTTCTACAGTTTGTAAAGCTGCTGGGATGATGATTGGGATTGCAGTGAACGTGATCAATTTGGGGCCATTTAACATCTTAATAATACTGAATTTTTCAAACCATAAGCTAGTATCTCTCTCCATATTTTAAGTCTTATTTCATCTCAGTAACATTTTGCAGGTTTTACTCTGGCACATATTTTGTTAATTTTATTCCTATATATTTTATAATTGTTGACACTAACAGAAAACATTTATCAGAGTATCAAAAAAGCATAAATTACACTTAAAAATAATGTGCATTCTGCAACTGTTGAATATAGTAATTCCATCCAAGGCAACTAGATCTAGATGACAGATAGTCGTATCGCTACTGGCAGCAAATTCATATGGGTCTGCAGCAACCTCAATCCTTGCCTCCCCAGAAGGAAGAATTCAACTAAGGAGTGTAAGGCAGGAAAAGAGACGGAAGCAAGTTTTAGAGCAGGAGTGAGAGCTTCTTGGAAAGCTTTAGAGCAGGAACGAAAGAAAATAAAGTACACATGGAAGGGGGCCAAGCGGGCACCTGGGGAGATGAAGTGCACAGCTGGACCGTTTGACTCGGGGCTTCATACGTGGGCCTGCTTCCGGGGTCTTGCATTCCTTCTCCCCTGATTCCTCCCTGCGGGTGGGCTGTCCACATGCCATGCTTGAGCCCACGCACCCAACTCCTGAGATCCTATCAGAAAGCTGCTGACTGGTTTTAGGTGTTTTCTATCTATTGGGAGCCTGCCTTTCCCTGGTGCCACCTGTGACCAATTATGACTTTAGAGAGACAGTTAACAACAGCCTAACCATCACTTGATGGTTGCCCGACACTCCCCGTGTGTGTGGGGGGGCCCCCTCCTGCCTTGCTCATACCTGACTAGCTACCCATTGTAACAGTATTAGTCTGCTCGCTCTGCCCAACTAGCCCAAAGTCCCACAGAATAGGTGTCTTAAAAGAAATATGGCCAGGCATGGTGGCTCACGCCTGTAATCCCAGCACTTTGGGAGGCCAAGGCAGGCATATCTCCTGAGGTCAGGAGTTCGAGACCAGCCTGGCCAACATGACGAAACCCCCGTCTCTACTAAAAATACAAAAATTAGCCAGGCATGGTGGTGCATGCCTGTAATCTCAACTACTTGGGAGGCTGAGGCAGGAGAATTACTTGAACCCAGGAGGCAGAGGTGGGAGTAAGCCAAGATCAAGTCACTGCACTCCAGCCTGGACAACAGAGCAAGACTCTGTCTCAAAAAAAAAAAAAAAAGAAAAGAAAAGAAAGAAAACCAGAAATGTATTTCCTCACAATTCTGGAGGCTAGAAGTCCAAGATCAAGGTGTAAGTGGCCTGGTTTCATTCTGAGGCCCCTTGCAATAGACAGTGGCCATCTCCTCCCTATGTTTTCACATCATCTTCTTTCTGTGCCTCGGTGCTCTCCCAACCTCCTCTTCTTATGAAAACACCAGTCATCTTGAATTAAAACCCATTGTCACGGCTTTTTAACCTAATTATCTTTCTGAAGATCCTATCTCCAAATACAGTCCCATTCTGAGATACTGGGGGTAAAGGCTTCAACTTAGGAATTTGGGGGAGCACAGTTCAGCCCAGAACAGACGTGATATCTGCACAGTGTTGTACACACCTGGGAGGCACGTGCACAGCAGTGTACACAGAAACATCTGGAAGTACACAGGTGGGTGTATGGTGTGGGGGATGTCTGTGATATTTTGATACAAGAAACATGTAGAGTCATGTGTCACTTCACGACGGGGATACGTTGTGAGAACTGCATCGCGAGGTGATTTCGTTATTGTGTGAACACCAGAGAGTGTAACTTACATGAATCTAGAGGGTACAGCCTACCACACACCTCGGCTGTACGGCCTAGCCTATTGTCCCCAGGCTACAAACCTATTGTTACTATGCTGAATACTTTAGGCAATTATAACACAATGGTAAGGATTTATGATAGTATTATGATATTATTAGTGTTAGATATAAACATATCTAAACATACAAAAGATACAGTAAAAAAAAAAAAAAAAAAAAAAAAACAGTAAAAAAAATAGTACATCTGTATAGGGTCCTTACCTGAATGACTCCTGCAGGCCTGGAAGTTGCCCTGCATGAGGCAGGGAGTGGCGAGTGAATGCAAAGGCTTAGGACATTACTGGACACTACTGTAGACTTTATAAACACCACACTTAGCGTATACTAAATTTATTTATAAAATAAAGTAAATGTGCAATGATGTTATGTTGGCTACAACGTCACTAAGTGATAGGAATTTTCCAGCTCTATGATAATCTTATGTGACCATGGTTCTATATGGAGTTGGTCATTGATGGAAGCATTATTAATCAGCATTTGACTGTATTTGATCTTTGTCCCTGGTAGCACAGCTCATAAAACTTGCAATACCTGAGTAATGGAGTAAGAGGAGCGTCTTCTGTTATTCAGCATAAGCCACTTTCAACTCTACCTGAGTTTATGCTAATGAGGTGGGGGCTGGTTGTCAGAGGAACCCACCATATATTAGAGGGTTGCAACGTTCCCTCCCACCCTGGAAAAGGGAGAGAGGCTGGGGATTGAGTTCATTCACTGATAGCCAGTGATTTCATCAATGCTGCCCACATAATGGAATATAATAATAATCTAGATGGCATAGCACATGATAAAACCCTACAAAAACCCTCCTCGAGGGGGTTCAGAGAACTTCCAAGTTGCTGAACACGTTGAGGTGCTGGGAGGGTGTGCACCTGGATCAAGCGTGGAAATATCCGTGCCCCTTCCCATACCCTGCCCCACGTGTCTCTTCCACGTGGCTGTTCCTGAGTTGTATTCTTTTATGACAAACCAGTCATTTAGTAAGTGAACTGTTTGTCCCAAGTTCTGTGTATGAGCCATTCTAGCAAATGACATAGTGTCAGGATTGAGTTACATTGTAGGACACCCAGCCAGTGTCTGCCAAGAATAGGAAGTTGCTTGGTATGGAAAAGCCCACACGTCTGGTGTCAGAAGTGTAGGGTGTAGCGGGACCAGGGGTTTTGTTTTACTGTTCAAGTGGATCTTTTGCCCCTCCCTTTGGAAACACAAGAGCCTCATTCCTCCCCTTCCGGTCAACTGAACTACCCTCAAAGTGCTCCCCAAGGAATGCCTCAGGCATGGCAAGCCTCAGCAAAACCAGCAGAGGGGCTCAAGTTATCTGGGTGGACTGTCTACACTGTCAATACCCAGCTTTATTCTGACAGTGTAGACCTGAATCAAGAACACAAGAAAGCGGGGCGTATTGGAGGGAAAGGCCCCATAAGCTGTGTATTTTGGCGTCCTAATTCTCAAAGGCTAAATTCTAGGGTTCCTGTCACCTGTGGTCCTGCTCATTCCAGATGTTCAGAATGTTCCTCTTGTTAGTGTCTGAGGATCTTAGAAGAGGGTGTAGAATTTGGAGTCAAGCCCTACAGAAACCCAGCAGAATCTACGTCACGTGTGGTATCAGCCAAGAGCTGAGTGGACTCTATTTCCCAAGAGCTCGAACCACATGGGGTCGTGGCCCAGATAAACAGCCTTTTGAGTTTGAACAAATGCGGCCAGCTGGTTGGTTCTTGGGGGCTTAGATATAAGCGGAGAGGTGCACTCTGTTGGGACAGGGGGCTCTCATTGGTTTTAATTAACTGGCTTTGAGTACATGACAGAGGTTTTTACAAGTTCACGGCTGACATCACTCAATTTCTGCCCTCAGATTTTGAATCTAAGCCAGCAGTTCGGTGGTTGCTCAATAGCATCAAGAACTGCTTAAATGTAAGTCAAGGGCACTGTCAGGCTTACATTTTGATTCTTTTAACTTTTCAAGTATTTAAGGCAAAAAGCGATTGTCTTTCCGTTCCTACTGGGCATTTTCTAAGGGGCCCTGGGCATCTATTTCCTGCCCAGCTCCCTGTCCTGACACAGAGGGGCATCCTAGGGCTGCCCTGGAAAGCCATTCTCCCATCTCTCTGCTCTGTTTTCTTTGGCGTTTTATCAAGGAGCAGCAGGATGGGAGGCTCTGCTGGATGCTGGCGATGTGAGGCACACCCCCCTGACCTTTCTTCCAGCCAAATAGCTCTGATAAGTGGGCAGACCTTGAGCCTAGAGACCCACAGACACACTTGGACGATTCCTGCAGAAATCAGTGAGGCAGTCTCCTCCCAGGGGCTCGGCGCCTGGCTCCAGAGGCGAGGCAGCTGGCCCGGACGCTGACTGCCCAGTGCCACAGACATGGCCAACGGGACCAACGCCTCTGCCCCATACTACAGCTATGAATACTACCTGGACTATCTGGACCTCATTCCCGTAGATGAGAAGAAGCTGAAAGCCCACAAACGTAAGTCTAAACTAGGGAAGCCGGCCCGACAGAGCCTGGGGGCCGGCCCAAATGACTGGCCACTCCCAGCTTTTTCTGCATTCACTTATTAACTCCAGTAGACATCACGGGAAAGCAGCAGTGTGGCTAGTTCACTCGTAGATATAAATGAATGGGGCCGGGAAAGAAATTGTATCTGTTAAGTTCTGTAATAAGCTTGGAATTAACCTGCTAAGTCACGAAGACACTTTGGAAGCAGAATTTTTATTTTACTTTATTTTGGAGATAGGGTCTAGCTCTGTTGCTTAGGCTGGAGTGCAGTGGCATGACCATAGCTCACTGCAGCCTTGACCACCCTGGGTCAACTAATCCTCCTACCTCAGCCTCCCAAGTAACTGAGACTACAGGCACATGCCACCACGCCTGGTTAATTTTGTGTAGTTTTTGTAGAGACATGTTATGTTACCCAGGCTGGTCTGGAACTCCTGGCCTCAAGTGATCCCCCCATCTCGGCTTCCCAAAGTGCTGGGATTACAGGTGTGAGCCACTGCACCTGGCCAGAGTATTCTTTTAAAGACAGATTTCTTGTTTAATTTGTTTGGGGCTCCAATAAGCTGAGCGAGTTTCCTCAAATTAGAGATTTGCCTTTTCCATTGTCTGTATTTAGATTTGGGACAGTTATTCTCTCCATCCCTAAGATGCAGGATTTAATAATTTTTGCTAAAATGCCAACATACATTTAATCATCATGGTCTCAGCAAGGACAAACTAGCATGACTTTGCTTCTTTTTGCTCATCTGCCCTCGGGTTCCTTATCTCTTGGCTAACATGGCATGTGTGGATAATCTTCTCTGAGGAGTCCAGTTACTTGATCACAATGACAAATTAGATGAGGAAGTGAGCATGAGAAACAAAACAAAAACAAAGCCTGGAAAGATTGGGTCTCAGCCCTGGAAACCCATGCATTACCTATCCCATAGGAAGTCTTGGCTTCCTTGGGTTTTCACTCACTATAATCAGATACTGTCCGTCAAACAGTAAATGCAGGGCTAGGTGCCGTCGCTCACACCTGTAATCCCACCAACTAGAGAGGATGACTTGACGCCAGGAGTTCGAGGCCAGCCCGGGCAACATAGTGAGACCCTCATCTCCACACACACACAGAAAAAGTAAACGCAGTCCAGGCACGGTGGCTCATGCCGGTAATCTCAGCACTTTGGGAGGCCGAGGCGGGTAGATCACTTGAGGTCAGGAGTTTGAGACCAGCCTGGCCAACATGGTGAAACCCTATCTCTACTAAAAACACAAAAATTAGCTGGGTGTGTTGACACATGCCTATAATTCCAGCTACTCGGGAGACTGAGGCACAAGAATCGCTTGAACCCAGGAGGCGGAGGTTGCAGTGAGATGAGGTCACACCACTGCATTCCAACCTGGGCAACAGAGCAAGACTCCATCTCAAATAATAATGATGATGATAATAATAATAATAATGTTTTTGCTTCCAAAGTATCTTCATTTCTTAGGAGGTGAATTCCAAATTTATGACAGAAGATAACAGACACCATTTCACCTCCAAGCCCCTTAGGGTGTCAGGGGTCCTTGACACCCACAGAGAGAGATGCTTCTTGGGGTCTTTTTTATTCCTATTTGTGTCACAGTATCCCAATCTTTATGTTTTATTTGAATGTAATTTCTATTTTCCCTAGAAGAGAAGTTTGGGGCTAGACAAAAATCCCACCCTACGCCCCACAACAGACATAAGAATCTTTAAACTCCAAATAGGTGGTTGTTGAGTTTTTTTCTAGGGAACCCACCAGGAGGCAGGGGCTAGGCAAAGGCCAGGCACGCGGACTGCTGAGCCAGTCAGCTGGATTCACATCTTGGCTCTGCCACGTCCTGGCCGTGTTCCCCTGGGCAGGTCCGTTACCCAGGCTAGCCAGATTCAAGTAGAGAGAATGAGAGCCCCCGTCTCAATGGGAGAACTGTTGAAAATATGAGGTGGTCTTTAATTCACCATAAACAAGAAAAATGTGGCAGATGGTAATATGAAAATATGAGGTGGTCTTTAATTCACTATAAACAAGAAAAATGTGGCAGATGGTAATATGTGCTCCATACAGAAAAATAAAACTGGGCTGGGCACGGTGGCTCATGCCTGTAATCCCAGCACTTTGGGAGACCGAGGTGGGTGGATCATGCCTGAGGTCAGGAGTTCAAGACCAGCCTGGCCAACATGGTGAAACCCCATCTCTACTAAAAATACAAAAACTTAGCTGGGCATGGTGGCGGGTGCCTGTAATTCCATCTGCTTGGGAAGCTGAGGCAGGAGAATTGCTTGAACCTGGGAGGCAGAGGCTGCAGTGAGCTGAGATTGCACCATTGCACTCCAGCCCGGGCAACAAGAGCAAAACTCTGTCTCAAAAAAATAAAAAATAAAACTAGAGGGGGCAGCTAGGGAGAACAGGGACCCAAGGAAAGATTGCCACTGTGAACAGGGCACCAGTGAAGGCCTCCCCAGGGTCCCTGGGAGGAGGTGAGCCATCACGATGGCGCCTGGAGGAGGTCTCAGAAGAAGCCTCCCATGCAGCAGGAACGGCAGGGCAAGGGCTCCAGGGCAGGTGAGCACCTGGCATTTTCAAGGAAGAACAAAGAACAAGAAGTTGCAGTGACTCTCCCTTCCTCTCCCTTCCCTTCCCTTCCCTTCCCTTCCCTTCCCTTCCCTTCCCTTCCCTTCCCTTCCCTTCCCTCCCCTCCCCTTCCCTTCCCTTCCCTTCCCTTCCCTTCCCTCCCCTCCCCTCCCCTCCCCTCCCCTCTTCTCCCCTCCCCTCCCTTCCCTTCTTCCTTCTTTTTGTTTGTTTTGTTAAGATGGAGTCTATCTCTGTCACCTAGCCTGGACTGCAGTGGCGCGATCTCGGCTCGCCGCAACCTCCGCTTCCTGGGTTCAAGCGATTCTCCTGCCTCAGCCTCCTGAGTAGCTGGGATTACAGGTGCCTGCCACCACACCCAGCTAATTTTTGCATTTTTAGTAGAGACAGGGTTTCACAGTGTTGGCCAGGCTGGTCTTGAACTCCGACATTGTGATCCGCCTGCCTCGGCCTCCCAAAGTGCTGGGATTACAAGCATGAGCCACCGTGCCCGGCCAACTCTTTTCTTATATTTTTGGAAACTGTTCTGGAAATATCTTTTTTCTTTTAAAATGGAAACGAGTTTATTATTTCATCATTTAATGCAATTTATCAGTCAATAAGGAAAAGAACAAAAGAGTATAGGCAAGGGTATGAAAAGACAGTAGCCACAGAGAAAACTCAAATGGCCCACAGAGAGAAAAAATGTGCAGCTTCACAAGTGGCCTGGGAAATGCATGGGGAGAGAGCCATGAGAGAGCACTCCACAACCACGGGATTAGTAAAAATTGCAGGATGGATATTCAGCCTGGGCAACATAGGAAGACCCCGTCTCCACAAATGAATGAATGAATGAATGAATGAGTGAATGAATGAACAATTAGCTGGGTGTGGTGGCATGTGCCTGTGGTCCCAGCTATACAGGAGGCTGAGGCAGGAGGATTGCTTGAGACCAGGAAGTCAAGGCTGCCTTGCAAACCTAGCTAGTGGCACTGGTTCTTTCCCCGCCTCATAGCTTCACCACTCACTCTTAAATTTGAAGAAATATCTGAGTCACTTTAGTTACCAAAGCAAATGTCCAGTCCCATGAAATACATTTTTAAAATGTTTAAACACAAACCATCCTTGAATTCCACTCAAAGTTAGAGCTTCCTATTTCCCCAGCATGGTGAAATGGATGCTTTTCCTTTATTAGATCTGCCAGCTCCTTTCTCTGTTTTCAGACCAACCCCACCTGGAGTTGCTCCACCATCCCTTTAGCCTGCTCCAGACTCTGAGCCTACCCTCCCCTGAGGCCCTCTAATGTGTCTTGCACTGCACACAGCTTTCCCTCTGACACCAGGATGGCAGCCCCCTGTCTACTCTGCTGCCACCAGCTGCTGAGCCTCTTCCTCTGGAGATTTTCTGGAGCACATGCCAGACTCTAGCCTGACTCAAGGTCAGGGAAGTGCCTCTGATATGGTTTAGGTCTGTATTCCCACTCAAATCTCATGTCAAATTGCAACCCCCAATGTTGGGGGTGGGGTCTGGTGGGAGGCGATTGGATCATGAGGACAGATCTCCTCCTTGATGCTGCTCTTGTGATAGTGAGTTGTTGCTTATGAGATTTGGTTGTTTAAACGTGTATGACGCCCCCCCACCGCTTCCTCCTGCTCTGGCCATGTGAAGATGTGCCTGCTTCCCCTTTGACTTCTACCATGACTGCAACTTTCCTGAGACTCCTCAGCCATGCTTCCTGTACAGCCTGCAGAACTGTGAGCCAGTTAAGCCTCTTTTCTTCATAAATTACCCAGTCTCAGGTATTTCTTTATAGCAGTGCAAGAATGGACTAATGCAGCTTCTCGCCCTCTCCAACAGAGTAAGAGTTGTGGGAGACTCCACACACTGTTCTATCATCTCTAAAAAAAAATTATTCAGACCCAAGCATCATGAAATCCAACTTTAAGTAGTTGGCACCTGCCTTAGTCTGCTCAAGCCAATATAACAAAATACCATAGACTGGGTGGTTTAAAAAAAAGAAATTTATTTTCATACAGTTATAGAGGCTGGAAGTCCAAGATCAAGATGACAGCAGATTCAGTGTCTGGTGAGAGCTCCCTTCCTGGCTTGAAAATAGATGGCCACCTTCTTGCTGTGTCCTCTCATGGCCTTTCCTCAGTGGGCACAGTGGGGGTGGTGCAAATACATTCTGTGTCTTGTCCTCTTCTTAGAAGGACACTAATCCCACTATGGGAGCACCACTCTTATAATGTCATCTAAATTTCATTAGATGAGGACCCACTTCCAAATACTGTCACAATGGGGATTAGGGATTCAACATATGAATTTTGGGAGGACACAACATTCTGACAATAACACCATCTTTGGATTGGATTTCAGTCTTGGGTTTCAGCT